CCCCCCCCCCCCATACGCCACTGGTTATAACCGTATTCCACATGCGCAGTGCCCAACAATTGTAATATGTATAAATAGAAGAGAAAAACAGAGTTTTAACGTGGTCGCAATGGCGGGGGTTATGAATGAATTGTTCAAATATATAGATATAAGTTCGAGAAATATATAATACCTCAACGAAATTGCGCTCGTTAATTTCGTTTTATTGTTAGGTCGTAATTATATGTTCTATGCCGTTGAGATTTTAGAATCGAGCGAAACTTTTCACAATTGTAGTTTTTAATCGTTTGGAAACTTGAGTTTCGAATTGTTTAGTTTATTAAAGTAGCTTGATAGAATAGTTTGAACTGCTGAGTACTGTCATGACTGAAAGGCAAAAATATAAAAAACCTTGCCTCGATTGGAAATGTTCGATACAAATTTAAATATATTGTTTAGGATAACCTCTTTTTAGGCCAATTTACAAAACACAACTTTTGCCTAAACTGTCGCACAAAATCTGCTTACATAAATTTACACCAACTACAACCCAAGCCGTAAGCATGTTGCAGGCGACAGTTTTAGGAAAAGTTGCGTATTGTAAATTGGCTTTGCAGGCCCTTTTTCACTTCAAGCGTACCGTACCGAAACGTATCAAAAAAAGGCCGGAAAGCGAAAGATTATTTTCTAAATCGAATTTCTCGGCATGCAAAGGGTATTACATTTTGGAGTTCTATACAGGTCTGAATTACTAATTGTAATGATAACCCTTGCCTGTCGGGGCAAATTTAAAATTTGTTAATTAGATTTGATATAGGCAAATCAGTCTTAATGCCATAAATTGTTGTTCGATAAAATTAATATGCTTCATGATAATGATAGTGAAAGAGATTATCCAAAAATATATTTAGCTTCAGATGGAACATTTAAATTGAAGAGCTAGATCAAAGCAAGATTTTTATATTTTTGCCTTTTATTCAAGACAGAATAGGTCAAAATTTACCATGCCAAATCAAAATATTATCCTCATCAATATGGGTTTAGACAAGGGCATAGACATAGTATACGTACTGCGCAAGCTATCAGACAAGTAAATAACTGGGTTCTCGAGTCAATGGATGAATGGAAAATCACTGGTTAATTTACTTTTCGTTAACATCTCGAAAGCGTTTGACTCGATAAACCATAAAGTACTCCTGAGAAAGCTTGGCAATATGGCACTTTCCGGCAAAGCACCGAAATGGTTTCGGTCTTACCTCATTGACAAGATGCAAAGCGTGTCGATAAACGGAGAAATGTCGGACCTCGCTCGGTTGTGTTTGGCGTTCCGCAAGGAAGTATTTTGGATCCGCTTTTGTTTAACGTTTACGTTAATAGTTTGCCAAATGCTGTGGAGAATACTCCTGTTATATTGTATGCTCACGATGCAATCTTGATTTTTGCGGCATCGACCCCTCTACAATTGCAAAATCCTTAGAACGTGATTTTAGTTTGATTTGTAATTGGTATTCTGACAACAGATTAACGCTAAATATCAAGAAGACGAAATTTCGTCTGGAAGGTAGTAAACTTATGTTATCAACATTTGGTGATTTCAAGCTACAGTCACGAGATGGCATTGCGATAGATCGGCTCCAGTCTTTTAAATATTTCGGTGTGAAACTGGATGAGAAATGGAGTGGGAAGACACAACATATTAAGGATTTGCTACGAAAGTTAGGCCATCCACTCCCCGTATTTAACCGAATTAATCATATGTTGGATCATAAATCTCGTGTTGCATATTTTAGTCTTACCACGTTTAGACTACGCAGATATGGTATGGGGAGATCAGGATGGTGTGAAATCCGAGATGGAACAACTAAAGGCTTTTCAGAATCGATTTGCTAAGAAACTCCAAGGGAGCAGCATCGTCTGATGCAATAAAATCTCTAAAATGGATTCCCCCAGACAGGGCGACGTTTTAGTCACCGTTGCATTTCTGTCACAATGCAATCAAAGGAAATATACCCGAACATTTCGAATGTTACAAATCAAGCTTAAGTAACTCTCATGGATACAATACAAGGAACAGTCAGTTACCTAGGCTACCTAAGCCAAGTATACTGAATGGGCAAGGGGACAACATATTACAGGGCAACAAATGATTGGGCATCACCTCCAAGTACCCTGAAGAAACCGATTTTGTCAATAATGTTGAACTTATAATGAACTGATAGTGAACTTATAGTGAACGTTTTTAACAATTTTTAGCCTAATTATACTTTTAACGTATGTATACATGCATTCATATTATTATTTTGAAGACCTTGCTGAAAGCACTATTGGTGATGGAACCGAAGCTTTCCTCTATAAAGACCAAATATTATGCCATTTGAAAAGCGATTGAAAGTTTGAAACAATTACAAAACGGTTAGGTACAAGCCAACGATGATTAATCACGTGCACGAATTTATCGATTGAGCAATTTTAACGACAGTTTGTTTTTAAATCAAATTTAAATTTTATTCAACAAAATGCTGTTACAACCATATTCTACTACGATTCACATGTTAATATATGTGACTTAAGCTATGCAAAGCTAACTTTCGGCAATATGGCGACAAAGAAACAAGCTCTCAGAAGCTCTGCGCAAAATGCAAATATTTCATCAACAAAGTCGCCCTCTAAGCCAGTTCAATCAAAGATTCTAAATCTCAAGGATACAATGGAGAGTGAAGATGAAAAAGAAAGTGGTGTGAAGGAGATGTTCGAGGTTGTAATGAGAAAGCTTAGCAAGCTTGATGACATAGACAGTCGTGTCAAGTCAATGGAGAATGACCTAAAAGACATGATGAGTTCCCTAGAATTCGTCCATGCGGAGGTTAAAGATCTGAAGGAAGAAAATGAAAAACGCAAGGCAGAAGGACATAAAACGGACGAAAGACTAGAAAAACTGGAGGATCTAAATACGGCATTAAAGAATCGCGTCATTGACCTACAAGCGAGGTCAATGCGCGATAATTTGATATTCTACAATATCAACGAAATGAAGGATGAAAACCCAACAGACATCGTCCACGGTATATTAGAAAATCAGTTGGGGTTTGAGAATGCGAAAGACACTGTGAAGATAGACCGCGCGCACAGATTGGGAAGGCCAAATCCGGCTTTATTTACAACCAGACCACGAGCCATTGTCTGCAAATTCAATTTTTTTCCGGACAAAGAAAGAATTCTGGCTAATGCTAAAAAGCTAAAAGGAACAAGAATTGCGATTTCAGAGCAATTCCCTGAGGAAATAATGCAAGTCAGGAAACGTCTCTACCCGGTTTTGAAAAAGGCAAGACAAGAACACAAGCGGGTTAAAATGGTGAGGGACAAATTATATATTGAAGGTCAACTATATGTCGAGTCCAACACGGCATGAGTTGGGTATCAAATTTCAATCTCTGTGTGTGCATATTTTAAATTTATCTAATATTCAATCTTTATATATTACTCTAATATTAGTATAAACCATGGCGCAACATTCTCTAGATAATATCAATAATCTTTTACCGTTTCAAAATCTTAACGATAACGAGTTTGAAACGTTGAATGATCCAACAATAAGACAATCGTATCCCGATATGGATAGACTAAGCCAATTACGATTTATTCCTTTTGAAACAAATCAAAACATAGCGCTTTCCGGCAATAATGCGGACCTTGATTCATCCTTCAATACAAACAAGATTCAGTGTGAATATTACTTACCAGAGGATTTCAAAAAACGAATAGAATGCGAAAATATACAAGCAAAATTTTCAATAATGCATTTAAACATACGAAGTATTTCGAACAAATTTGACTCTTTAAAAAATTTGATTGATACTTTGAATATACCTTTTCAGATAATTGGACTTACTGAGACATGGCTAAATGACAATATTGTGAACTGCTTTACTTTGAATAATTATGAGTACTTTGGTTCTAATAGGCCGGAAAAAAGAGGCGGAGGTGTAGGTCTTTATGTGTCAAAACAATTGGAGCAAAAATCTCGGAACGACTTAACCAAAAATGTTGAAGGTATAATTGAAACTAAATTTATTGAAATTATAAATGATAATGGTAAAAATCTTATTGTTGGGGTTATTTATAGACCACCAAGCGGAGATTTTCTTACGTTTAAAAATACTATGAACACAATCTTAGAAAAGATTGACAGAGAAAATAAGATCTGTTATTTAATGGGTGATTTTAACATTGATCTTTTCAAATCAGAGTCTTGTGATTACGCTGGTCAATTTGCCGAACAATTATTCACATCGTCCTTTTTTCCATTAATCACTAAAGCAACACGAATAACTGATGACACTGCAACGCTAATTGATAATATTTTCACAAATAATTTAGAAAAACTTAATGATAGTGTAAATGGTGTTGTTTTTAGCGATATTTCAGACCATTTACCTATTGTACATATTTTTAATTCAATTATATTGGATAAAAACAGAAACACAAATGAGACTACAGTAACCTATCAAAGAGAATATAATAAAGCTAACATAGAGTCGTTCAAAGACGCAGTTAAAAATATTTCCTGGAATGAAGTATTAAACGAATCTAATGACCCTGAAAAGGCTTATAATGAGTTTTTGAAATTATTTATGGGTGTATATGAGGCAAATTTTCCACTTAAAAGAAAAGAAAACAAAACAAAAATAAATAAAATAAAGAGTCCATGGATGACTAGATGTATATTAAAGTCAGTTAAAAATAAAAATAAATTATACAAAACCCTTCTTAAAAATCCAAATAATAAAAATAGGCAAAAATACACAAAATATAAAAATAAACTAAACCATATCATAAAAATTGCAAAGAAAATTTATTATGAAGAACAGTTAATTAAATACAAGAAAAATTCAAAAATGATGTGGAAAACGCTAAATGAACTACTAAATAAACCATCTAAAAATATAAAAGTATCAAAAACGTTTGTAGAAAGTTGTTCATCAAATATAATTGAAGACCCGAATGAAATAGCTAGCAAATTCAATGACTACTTTATTAACATAGGTCCTACTCTAGCAAACAAAATCAAACACAATGAAAATGAGAGTTTTGAAAAATATCTTTCTGGCAGTTATCAGTCAAACTTTTTTCTAAATGCGATTACGGAATATGAACTTGAATTAGAACTTGAAAATATGAAGTTGAACAAAAGTTCTGGATATGATGGTATTAATGCTAACATCACAAAAATAACTGCTAAGGAAATTTCTAAGCCATTAACACATATTTTTAACTTATCGTTTTCATCAGGAATTATTCCAGATAATTTAAAAATCGCATTAGTTACGCCAATTTTTAAAGGCAATGAAGAAAATAGATTTGAAAATTACCGACCTATATCAGTCCTTACTTGTTTTTCTAAACTACTGGAAAAGCTTATGGTAAAGAGACTAATAAATTTTATTGATAAGAACAAGATATTATCAAAACATCAGTATGGTTTCAGACGCAACAGGTCAACAGAACTTGCTGTACTTGATTTTGTTGATAAAATAACTAAAGCAATAGAAGAAGGGAAGTTCACTGTTGGTATTTTCCTTGATTTGTCAAAAGCGTTTGACACAATTAATCACAAGATTCTGATAAGAAAATTGGAACATTATGGTATACGAGGAACAGCAAAAAAATGGTTTGAAAATTATCTATATAATAGAAAGCAATATGTAAAATATAACGGAGTACAATCTGAAGAAATGACTATCACAAGCGGTGTGCCACAAGGATCAGTTTTAGGTCCTGTATTATTTCTCTTATACATAAATGATATTCAATATTGCAGTAAATTGGTTTCAATTATATTATTTGCCGATGACACTAACATACTGTATAGCGATGTTTGTCTCAAAACTTTAAACGAAACTATTCAAGTTGAAATGAACAAAATTACAGATTGGTTGAATGTTAATAAATTATCTATAAACACTGCGAAAACCAAGCTGATCCTTTTCAGATCAAAAAATAAGAAACCTAAATGTGATTTAAGAATTTCTATAAATAGCGAAACTATAAAACAAGTAAAAAAAACTACGTTTTTAGGGATTGTTATAGATGAATTTTTATCATGGTGCGATCATATAGATCTTATTTCAAAAAAAATTATCAAATGTACAGCTATTATATCCAGAATACGACATTTTACAAACCTAAATTCCTTAAAACTGATCTATTACGCATTGGTCTATCCATATCTTATATACTGTAATTTAGTTTGGGGTAACGCTTACAAATCCCACATTCAAAAATTAGTAAATATCCAGAAAAAGATAGTAAGATTAATGACCTTCAAATCCTATTTTGACCATACTGAACCAATTTTTAATGACCTTAAAATACTAAACTTGTATAAATTGAATGACTTCTTAACAAGTCTATTTATGTTCCGATATTTTCATCTACAAAATCTTCCAGAAATTTTTGATAAATATTTTTTAACTAACAAAGAAATCCATAATTACAACACAAGAAACGCATCATTGCTCCACAAAAGTTGTACTAGAACAAATTATAAAAAACACACGCTCGGTAATAACGGCATCGATGTGTGGAATAATCTTCCGACGCAATATAAGCAAATTAGATCTCTTCCAATATTTAAATCTACAAAGCCCCCAATACTACGTAAATGTTTCTATTTAAATTGTTAATTTTATAAACTGATTTGGGAGAATATATTAAATGAAAAAAAGTCTGCCTGTAGGCTGGTTTTTTTTATTTCTACCACCAGTGGTCTGTCCTTTAGATGCTCATTTTCGTTCAGGTGATAACCGACATTACTAGCAGCATAATGCCTTAACGTTGTCGTTTTCGCACTCAGAAGTACAGGTATGCACATCTGTAGAATCAGGACAGCCACATAATGCTACGCAACCGAATGCACATTTATTCGCGGGACAGGTTACTGTCCCTTTACCAGTAACAACTTCACATTCCGATTCTGACGAAACTCCTGGCTCGCCTGGAAGTAATGTGATAAAACACTTGTGAGAATCAAGCATAATTAACAAGATTTACATCTAATAAAAAATAATATTAAAAGACTTTCATAAATATCACTCGAAATTTCTTTTAGCAAAACAGCAGTGAACATCGTGCATGACGACTTAATACTCACATAGTCTGTGTGGCAGGCTCTAGTTGGAGAAGAAAAGCAGAGGCGAAGCTAGCCATGACAACTGGTCATGTTATGCTAATAAATTAGCATCTAAACAGGTTAAAGTCAATACATTTAACAATTATTCGCCGAAGGCGAGGTGATTATCGGGAAATATTAATCGGCGAGACGAAGTCGAGGTGAATATTCCCCGATAATCACCGAGCCTGAGGGCTTGTGTTTTTCTGGTCAGAATAATCACCGAGCCTGAGAGCTTGTGTTTTTCTGGTCAGAATTCATTTTAGTTTCGCTTATTTCTTTATCTCTAACTTCAACAAAACGGCTAGCCGCCATTTTGAAAATTTCGATTTTGTTATATTCACCTGTAGCTGAATATAACAGATTAATACGTCAAATTTGACCAATCACCTTGTAGGATTTGTTATGTTCACTTGTGCAAAAATACTAATTCTAAAGATTTGAATAATGCGAATCATTAAAAATTTGCAGTGAACTATGGCCTGTTGCTATGGCTAGCTTTGCCACTGCAGAAAAACCCGGCTTTTGGCCCTCGTTCTCGATTCGTCTTTACTTTTTGAGACTATGTTGAAAATGTAACACCAGTGTCGTTTCTAAAGACAGATATATAGTAGGGAATATTTGAGAATTTTGCATTGAACTGTCATCATGCATGCCCTTGAGAGAACGATCCAATGCAAGGTTCCATATATTTTCTGATACATTTTCGAAGTTCAAACTGTTCACTGCAGGACTCACTGTTTTTCTCTACTTATGCAATCACAATAACTTCAAAGAATCTATTCTGTTTAAGTTGTTGGCTGAGTCGATTGGGCAGAAATCTTGCGGCAGAAATCAACAAGTCGAGTCCGACTGGCTTAGTCATTTGGGACAGTAGCCGGCGTGCAGGCCCAAGTGAAGAATAGTGGGCCTGCAAGCAAGGCCCGGTATTTTGTACTTTCCGCGTTCGCCCACGAACGCAGCATATATTCTGATTGGCTGTTTGCTGTTGGATTCTATAATTTGGTCAGCGATTTATCACAAAGGCTCTCGATAACCTTAAAATTCGAAAATTGATCACTTTTTCGATTACAAATGGAACAAGAACAGACTGTTTATTGTTTATTGTTTATTTGAAGGAAGAGGTATTTTGCCGTTATGGCAATGGGGATTGCTTGTCGTGAAGTGTTGGAATAGCAACATTACGACTGGGATAAACTATAGTAACCTTTACTTGAGTTTCATTAACTTCAAACAGACTTGATACGTTATATGTTCCTCAAGAAAATTATCTTTTGGTTGAGGTTGACTCTGTTCTTGCACTGAAGAAAACAGCGCTTTTCGCGGTGAAGATTTAGAGGCAGTTGCATGTAAGCCTATTCGAAACACTTTAGTTATAAATTGCGATTTACAAGGCTTCGCTGAGAGAACGAAACAGAATACGGTAATTGCCGTTTGAAACGAAACGATCTGGACGCTCTGAACGCTCTTTTCTTTTGTAGAGTTCTTTACCAAATGAAATAACTGAAATAAATTTCGTACTTTCCGCCGCCAACAAGAATTGCAGACAGGATCTGATAAGTGGGACAACTTATAGCAATGGTGACAGCGAAGCACTCGCACGACTTCCCTCACGATTTGAAGTTTGAGACTGGTTTTCTGTTGAAATTCGTCCTAATTTGCCTGTTCCGATTTTAGTTGAAAATAAGCACTTGCAAATTTGGCAATTACTGACTGCGTTGCTTGCTTTTTTTTTTAGTTAAAAGGCAGCCATTTACACGTTATTTCTGTTCTGAATAAGCAGAGAAAACCCCGCAACATTTTAATGCAGTATGTTGTTAATATTTGGGTTGCTGTCATTGGTTCTTTTTTGACAATTGACGCGCGAATTGGGCGTGTTATGAAAAGGGGCGTTTTACAAAATACCGGGCCTTGCATGCAGGCCCACTATTCTTCCCTTGGGCCTGCACGCGGGCTATTGGGACAGTTAACTCGGGACTCTAGTTGAGTCGCTAAAAATAGCGACTAGAATCTCATGCAGTCAATGACTTGACCCGTTCACGTACGATTCCGATTACCATTTCTATAGCACAAATTTACATGTGGATATGATCAAATTAGCCTGCTCGCAGCTCGAAATTTCATTCTAAGGACACCGGTTTCGTTCGAAGTTTCGGGGTGGGAGGCTGCTTAGTACAATCACGGAAATTAATTCGCAGACTTTTCAAAAATTTCAAAATTTCCCCACCCTCCCCGTTTACAATGTTGGCTTGTTGTCCAATAACCATTTGAACCAACATTGTGGTAGGGGGAGGGGGGAGTTACTATTTCTAGCGATCATGGACGTTTGTATTATCTAAAAATAAAATGGCTTTACAAGATAGTAAGACAAGGTGCGTTTTAAAAAGGTCTACAGATATTATTTCCATGATTGTAGGCTGTGATCAAATGCGCTTTACATCAAATATTAA